CATTTATTTATTTATATCAAATGGCAGGCGTTTTGATAGTTATCATTAGCCCTTTAGCTGACATCGGTGCTTCACAGAGAGGGGGAGGAACATCAAGGTGACAAACAATCGAGAGGGGGATATAATAATGAGTGACAGATGTAAAAGAGACAGACAGACAGAAAGGCATAGGAAAGGTAAGATGAGTACTGTGAATGGGGTCGAATATGACAATCAGTCGGATCATGGTAGTTTGAAGTCAGAAGTCAACTGCCAGTTAATAGACTTTTTTGCCGTATGAGTATACGTTGCCCAGGGTGCACCACGTGGAGGGAGGTCTATTGCGCACCCCTGGGAACCTACATATAAGATATTATTTTCGTATCCTAGAGCCTTCTAGAGTATCCTCACAAGCACTTTTGAAAAGTTTATGCATATAAGTACCTACTGGAAGCACATATTTTGAATCAATCTGTAGACTTATCTTCCTTACCTGCTGGATTTCCATGGGTGTGCCACCCCTCTCATGAGATGGAATTGATCGAGTCCGAGTTCGAGTTCTGAATCTTCCACAGACGGGCTTGCAAGATGACCATACTGACCATTCTTCTTCCTGCATAAACGGAATAATTGATGAAATCAAAACGGTGGTTATGATGCAGCGTTAGACAAACCTCAAGTCAGTTAAAAGTATATATCTCGAGTAGTGGTGTGACCTGGCGAAATTAAACTAAAGTTATCGTTGATTAGACATGACTTTAAGTGTTATTTGTTTAGGGCACATATTTGTCAAATATTTTATATATCTTAAATTCTTTTACTATTTTAGGTGTCCTTAGCAGAAGAGAGCTTTTGAAATATTCATTCATTTAATTTCTTATTGAAAAATAACTTAGTTACTTCAAAGTTTATAAATAAAATTGGACATGGATTCTAATGGCTGATGATTAATAATTAATAAATTAATGATAAATTTATTAATTAGATGATTCTGAAAGCTATTCTAAATTTAATTTGAATGATTTCATTATTATTGATGTAAATAGCAAAGTTTTATTGACAGTTTCCTAATATCATTTTAAATTTCGACCACACCTCCACCCCACCCCCTTACTTTGAAGTTATTAAATTAGTTAATTTCAATTAAAATCGATATTACCCTTTGATCACATTCCGTTCCCACGTATCCAGCATAGCACATACAAAGAGCTTTGCCCCTATGATTGGGAGTAGTGACGCAGGTTCCATGAACACAGAGCTTGGTGTCACAAGAACCCTCTTGATGCAGACAATTAGGAAGTTCCAGAGTCAAATCCTCAGAGAAGGGTGGTTTACAGAGGCAGTAGTACGTGTCTGTTCCAGGTTTACCAACACAGCGCGAATGTCTTGGAACGGTGAGCACTTCTGTTACAACTGTTCCTTTCCATTCATCCTTTTGGCGTCTCACCTCAACGTTCTCCTTCTCGTTTGCTTTACCATCCATGTTGACTTGACAGAGCTCTTCTCCTGTAACGTCACTTATACGGAGTAAAATACTTAGTGTAACTAATAACACCAATTATAAAACTTTTGAAAATGAAATAAAAATAAGTTTAACCAGTAAGTGGAGAAATATCATCTGACATTTTAGTAAATTAATAGGGATTATAGCATTAAAGGCTAGGTAATTATTGCGAGTAAAACTGTAAGAAAATAAAATACAGAAATTCACTATTAGACGTGCCTTCGGGATAATTTATCGATTTGTCTAGGACTTTTTTATAGGGAGGACACACATACTCCTTATTAATGCTAGGAATGAGAATAAATTTCAGCAATTAGTATTGTCTTTCCAAAAAGCAAAATTCACACTACATGACCTCTGCTGTGTTTGTGAGTCTGATGACAGAGTAGCAAATTAATACAAATCTAAAAAATCATTAACTAATGCGATTACTTCAACAGGCTGAATTTTAGTGTACAAAAATTACTAGTCAACCAATGTTTGGCAGGTCAAAATTATGCTCAGGATGCGACCTATCCGAAGCTCATCTTAATTGCTGAACGGATTAAAAATAACATATTATTTTTTCCGTGAAATTAATTATGAAGGCCAAAATATTCGCTTATGCCTCAGAATGCACTCATAGTTTGCTTAAATCATTAAATATTAAGGTGATCTTAGCATTTTAAGAATGTAACCACCTTTTTTACACTCCTTTTAATTACCTATTTTCTACCTTCAATTTTGATCGTTCTAATGAAAAAGATACTTTATTAGAGTTGTTAGTGTACCTCATCTGTTATCTACTGTGTACTCGAGTGAAACGTATGGGCTTCCTCCCATATGTAACAAATTATCACCTCAATTATTGGCTAACCAGACAACCGATCATTTTGCACGTCTTTAATTGTATTACAAAAACATGGGCTTCACGAATCTTTTTGCAGCAAGTCTTGTTTTTCCCTGGAGGTGTGAGCAATTGTACCCTTAGTAAAACAAATAATTTCTGATTTAAACTAGTAACTTTCAATAGGCTATACAGTACTTCTTCCTGAAGGCCAAATATGAAAGCTCGAGTTTGTATTATGAATTAGCTTTATGGATGATTGGAAATAATAAATAATGCATTTTTGGTAAACTTACATAAGTTTTCGACCGTCGTGGAATGTCAAATTAAATTTAATATCAGTGCAGGGATCCTTAAATCTCTCACAGAAAGTTCCTGTATATTGTTCGTGGCATAGACAATCTGCTTCCTTTGTATAGCTGAAAATTATTATTATTACTATTTGATAAATTGTACTACTGTGCATTACTATACTGCATCAATATGGGTCTGTTAAGGTAATGATTGATAAACTTATTTAACCCTTAACTATTTGAAAACTTAAAAATTCGAATAAATTCCTTGATATGTTAAGACTATTTCTTACTCTTTTAATGTACAGGCTTGGGTACCTGGAAGGGAGCATGGAGCTAATGTGATTGGATCGCATTTTTTAAGAGTCTGTCGACTCTTTTCGCAAACCCTTTCATCATTGTTCCACTGAAATCCTTCTTTACAATCACACTGATAACCTTGACTTCGAGTTAGCCAAGAAAACGCGCCAGAAATGTGATCATTATCAAAGCGCTCGTAAGGATTTTCCAGTTGCTTCCATAAACGTCGAAGAACTTCAGGCCAATGTTCAGGTTTCTGTTTTGGGGAAAAATATTATATATTGCTCCCTGTTAATAAATTAATTCAAAAGTTGTATAAATTTCTACCGGAAAGCATCGATCAGTGTTAGTGTTATTTGCTCTTTCGCAAGGGTTTCCAAGTTCCCACCACTTTTCTTTAGTATTCAATCGGCCAAAACACCCATCCGGACAGAGATGTACATGCTGCAGTTCCGGCTTTTCACATAAAACCAAATTGAAGACCATTAGAGCGTGATGATTTCGAATTAAATGTTTTGGAGTGTCCAGAAATAATGTATTGTCCCAATCGATAGCCGAACTCATTACTTTCGTCTTGTCAACGCTATTTAGAAATACAAATATCTATAAGTAACCGCACTATAGAATATTACTTACATTATTAAAGTAGCACTTACGATTTATTTGGACTAAAATAAGGATTCATTTCATTCCAATCTTTCCGAGTATTCACTGTTCGTAGAGCTTTTAAGGCTAACGACCAGGTAAATCTTACGAACTGTGGATCACTGTAATCTGAATGGCATTCCTCCTCTACATTTTTCCACAAGTCAGTTTCACGAGGTTTCATGAATAAATCCAGAAAGGTGTGCATTCGGACGAGAATCTTGCGAGAAATTGTCAGGTTGCCTTTGCCAACTTTATCGCTATCTTTCACTTGTTCTTCATAAAGCTCATTAAATAGAGGACGAAGATCACCAGATCCCATATTTTCTGCTTCCTTTATCTCAAACAGCGATGTAAAAGGAGTCGAGTCAGACCTAGAGTTATACATATACATATATATATATATATATAAAAGCATATTATATACTTTTTAAGCAGTGCCAAACTTATAGATATTTAACAAATGTAAGAATAGGTTTGGCTTAGCTCATCTATTGCAGCTGCAAATATAACCATCGATACCACTCGACAACTGTCCAACGGGTTCGACTTAGTCGACAACCAAGTGATCAATCAGCTTGTTTCACTCAGACAACTCCTTAACATATGGGAGGAGTGATCAAGCAAATTGGTTTTCATTTTCTATTGGACAAAAGCACATCTCAGGATACATTTAACTACCTTAACAATTACTGGGGTGTGTGATAGACTTACCTCCACGCGGTGCACCCTGGGCAACGTATACTCATACGGCGAAAAAGTCTATTACCAGGCAGTTGACTTCAAACTACCATGACCCCACTGTATGTCATATTCGACTACTTTCACAGTACTCATCCCACCTTTTTTCCACCTTATCTACCTTCGTCTTTGATATATTCTTCTGTCCCCCCCTCCCTCTTGAATTTCTTACACTTTGATGTTCCTTCCCCTCTCTGAAGCCTGAAGTCAACTAAAGGGCTAATGATAACAATCGAAACGCCTGCCATTTGATATAATAATAACCTCTACAATTATGATTTACAGTTGTTGTTGAATAGAATATACCTTCAAATTTTCTAATTCAACTACCATTGTGGTATTATAGTCGTGAGAAGAATGGGCGATTCTTAAGGCCTAAGCTCCAGAATACCTTCAACATATTCAGATCAAGTGTTGTGAAAACCAGTCCTTAATGGGGGCTTACAAAGTCATTAAAGTTGGTCATGGAAGAATCTGAAAAATAGCCAATATCTTCTATTCAATATATTTAACATTTTTATTCATTAAAACTCAAAATTTATTTATTTTTTCCCAAGC